CATTGACACTGGGAGAATCCTCCCAGTTGGTGAACACACTGATATGCTGGGAGAATGATGTGACCAGATTCCATGAGGAGAGGGCAGAGAAATGCAAGAGTTGATGGGATTAAGGTGACAATCTGGACAAAAACTGATATATTGGAACAAGCTTTATGTGAAGTGGTTATGACTCTTATCTGAATGAATTATGGGAATGGATATTGTGTCTGGGGAAAATTACCTAGCATTATAAAACAGAAGGCATGTACATCCTTCCTTCAAGCCATATTCATTAAACATGTAAAATGGGAATGAATAAGATTGGCCAGGCCCATGTAATATAGAACAGAAGCTAGGGTGCTGTTAGGGACAAATCCTCCACATAATAGCCACATGTGGAATGTAAACTATGCCTTATCACAAAAGCCCGTAAGCACCTCCCAGACATGACTACTGGGATTTTGAACTAGAGAATTTCCATTTGGAGGAGCAATTACTAGCTTGCTATGAGACACTAATTGAAACTGCCTCTGAATGAAGAACATAAAATAATCCTGAAACCTGAAATATCCAGGATGTCTTGGGTGATATCAGACAAACACTCTAATGAGGAAGGCAGTGCCCAGAAGAGTTCTATAACAAAATGGAAATGGTTTGTGCAGGAACACACCAGCAGGGGAATGCACGGAGTTACACAGCATATTCCTGAGCAGGTGGACTCTTTTCCCCAGGAATGACTCTGGAGCCATGTGAAGAGCTGCAGGATTCAATCATCACTTGAACGGTGCCCTGTGAACAGCTCTCAACTGACTAACAAATAGCTGCTCGGCTGATAGACGGCAGTTTCATCATGAACACACAATATGCTGTTTGGAAGGCCACCACTCTGACTAAAAAAGGTAAAACAAATGGGGTTGGTGAGCTGCACTGCATGCTGTTTACCCTTATGGTCAGTCAAAAGGGCAATGGAAGGTTAGCCTATAAAGGGGGGTGCCCTTACTGGGCATGGCCCCATGGAAATCACTATGGGAATCTGAAGGGTGCATTAAAGTGGGCCACGTCAGTGCCCATCAGAAGAACCCCCTTCCAGCATCAGAAGATGATTAGAATCAATGAGCAGATACCCTGGTGTGCTCACTTGAGGTTAGCCACTTGGGTTAATGAAGGGAGTGGACTGAAACAATGCAGGGATGGGCCAAATCTAGACATATTCCTTTTGTACCCTCTGAGGCACAAAATGACAACAAGAACTGTTTTGTCTGCCAACAAGAGAGATTTAGAGGCTGCAGATGGCTATGGGGAAGATTCCTGGGGAGTGGGGGACAGCCCTGATACATAGCTGACGAGTCACACTGATCAGACTGATGCCTGTAACCCTGGAGGGCTACAAGTGGGTCCTGACAGAAATAGACACTGACTCTGGGTTGTGCTTTGCTGACCCAGTGGTAGATGCAAATGCTCAGAGTACTATAAAAGAAGTGGAGCGGAAGATATTGCACAGATTTGGACCACTGAATCACAGTTCTTCAGACTAAGGAACACACTTTACAGTCCATCATATCCAACAATAGGCAGAGAGATATAGTAGTCTGCCTTTATCCGCAGGGGTATGTTCTGAGACCCTCAATGCATACCTGAAAGTGTGATAAGTACCAAACCCTAAATATACTATGTTCTTTCCTATACCTACATCCCTATGATAAAGTTTAATTTATAAATGAAGCACAGTAAGGGATTAACAATAACTACTAAGGAAATAGAATTATAAGAATACACTATAATAAAAGTTATGTGAATGTGGTCTCTCTCTCTCTCAAACATCTTATTGTGCTGTACTCACCCTTCTTCTTGTGATAATGTGAGATGATAAAATGCCTCCATGATGAGATAAAGTGAGGTGAATGACATAGGCATTGTGACATTAGTGTTAGGCTACTATTGACCTGACAGTAGGTCAGAAGGAGGAATACCTGCTTCTGGACCATAGTTGACCATGGTTAGCTAAAACTGGAAATCAACACCGCAGATAAGGGAGGACGACGGTATCTTCCTCAGAGTAATACTTTGGTAAAGTATTAGAGCAGGCAATTGAAACACTGGTTGTCCAAATGGGGAAGGGGGAGATAGGGGGAGGATGCTGGTATGACAACTATACTTTTTTTTTCCTTTCCCATTATCACACTTAACTTTCTTTTTCCTACCTCATACAGTGGTCCCTGGGCCAAGGCTGCAACTATATTGCTGGAAGCAGGAATGATTCCTAAGGAACAAATTGTTTAAAAATATTTATATCAGAATTCCCAAGGGCCTGATGGGTGAGCTGTCCTTTCACTCTATCTGGCAACATTGGGGCTAATGAATCCAGTTATATTGCCTATTGGTAGAAATAGCCCACTAGTCCTGTACCTGTATAACCCTACCCTATATGAATGGGAGTAGACTACAGGGGAGGCCTTTGCTAGACTTGTACTGTCTAGCTGAACCTAAGGTCCCTTCCAAAGGTGAAAAGGTTTGGGTATAAATGGAGAGGAGGAATAGTGGCTAAGAATAAAGGTATGAATAAATGTGTTGTGCAGTGTGAATAAAATGTGTTTCTAATATTAATGCTTGGAAAGAAGCTAGAGCAAGAGATATTGTCTCTTAACTCAATTATAACAAATACCTGAAAGTGTGAAGCTCAGACCACTCCTGCTTTTGGAACTTGACAAGACCACATGGAATGAAGCCTGTAAACCTAAGTGCCCTCACTCTGAGAGACATTATGATCATTGTATATGATGATTATTGGACTAATTATTAGAGACGGCATTGGATTCTAGTAATGTGCCAGAATCTTTTGGCTCTTATTTTTCAGTTTATGTCTATCATAATGTGATATGCTATAACCCACTTGGATTGTTGGGAAGATAATACTGATACAGATAACCATACTGGGAACTTGATCAATAGCTCCCTATCCTTACCCCACATTGATTCCTCTAAATGTTGCTACATTTTTTATGCTCAGTTAGGTATGTACCTTTGCCATAGAAGATCCTATGGTCAAAGAGCAGGGGATGGTCTGAATATATCTGGTCTGAGGTGGGGTGTGTAGGGGGTGGGTGGTACAGAGCTTTCAAAATCTTTGGAATTTCCTGAGTGATAGCACCTTTTTTATGCTAATTAGGTGACTGTGTGTGTGTGTGTGTGTGTGTGTGTGTGTGTGTGTGTCTTTGTATGTCTGTGTTATGGAAGCTAGATAGCTTCAGGATGAGGACCGGTCAGCAGAAAAACCACATAGTTAGAGTGCTAAAACTTTCAACCACCTGACCTCCAGGGAGAGGAAGATTTCAATCACATGGGCAGTGATTTAATTAATTGCACGTATGTAATAAAACCCTGATAAGAAATCCAGAACAGCAAGTCCTACAAGAGCTTCCCGATTGGTGAACACATCAATGTTCTGGGAGGATGACGGTCCTAGATTCTCTTCTCTCTACAAAGAGAAGGCATAATGAAAAACTCTATGCCCCAACCCCATCCCCCACCCCTCCCAGACCTCACTTTTCTCCTAGACTTTATGCATCTCTTCTGCTTGGCTGCTCCTGAGTTATATCTTTTATAATAAAACTATAATTAAAAGTAAAGCATTTCAGTGAGTCATTCGAAGTACCAAGCCCAAAGGGGGCATGGTAGAAACCCCCAAATTTGCTGCCAACTCAGAAGTGTGGGTATCCTGGGGCCCCCGCATGTGGCTGACAATTGAAATAAGAACAGTCTAATTGGGAATGCTGTCCTCTAACTTGTGGGACCTGACACTAACTCTGGGTAGTATCAGAATTGAATTGTAGAACACCTTGTTAATATCCGAATTGTTAGAATGCAGACATTTTTCATAATATTTTTTAACTATTAAAACTGTAGTAAAATAAATATGATATAAAATTTACCCTTTTAATCATTTTTTCTTTTTAAACTGTTTATTGAAATATAACATTATATAGAAAACATTAATAAATAAGTACAACTTATAAGTAAACTGCTCAATCATATTTCACAAACTAAACTCACTCTTGTACCCAGCATCTGAAGAACAGAATATTTCAACATTCCAGAAAAGCAAAGAAATATGTTGAAAAGACAAGAACATTTTCATAAAATAAATATACATTAATTAAAATGAAAATGAGAGAGGTAATCATTTTCCAGTGAATATGCATATACCCACTCTATAATATGCCTCTCCAAAATTTACATTATGGAGGACTTTCTAAGGAGTATTTGGGTTCATGTTCAAAAGCTTCTGTGGCAATATTTTAGGACATACTGGAAGTAGTCAAACAGGTTTATCATTTAAGGAGATTGTCACAAATTCAGACTCCAGGACCCTAGTGAGTGAACATTCTCAAGTCAGGAGAGTAATGAGAAAAATATTTCTTGTCCATTCTAGATATATTTCTAAAATTATGGTGCAGATATATATATAACTTACCATTTTAACCATTTTTAACTGTACCATTCGGTGGTATTAAGTATATTCACAATGCTGTGCGATAATCGCCACTGTCCATTTCCAGAACTCATTCATCCCAAACAGGAATTCTGTACTCATTAAACAAGAATGCCCCATATCCACCTCCCTCCAATGCCTGGCAACCACTATTCTCCTTTCTGTCTCAACGAACTTCCCTATTTTAGGTACCTCATATAAGTGGGATCAATCAGTAGTCTGGGTTATTTCAGTTAGCATTATTTTCAAGGTTCATCCATGTTGTAGCATGCATCAAAATTCCTTTCCCTTTAAAGGCTGAATAATATTCCACTGTATGTATATACCATATTTTGTTTATCCGTTCATCTGTTGATAGACATCTTTTTTTTTGTCCTTTTTGCTACTGTTAATAATCCTATGAATACTGATGTACAAATGTATGTACTCTTATACATTTTCATAAACCCATCCTCATGTATTTTTGTTGCATAAGTAAACTTTTGGAACATCTTATGATTTAGTGGTCAAATAAAAATTAATGCTATCATACATTTTAAAGGGTCCAATGTTTTATTATGAGCATTAATATTTGTTCATGCTGATGATTCAGGGATAAAATAATGGACAAAAACTGGAATGTAAGCAATACTACATAGGTGTATCATAAGTATATGAGAATATTTTGCTAATTATTGGACTAAACTATATAAAAGATGAAACTGCATCAATTATTTTGTGCTTAGTCTTTCTGAATGTATTTTTAGTGGTAAATACACAGCAAGTACTTATACTTAAAGATTCTGCCTTTTTCTTTAGCAATAAAAATACAATTATCCTTGGTTAATCAGAATGTTTCAAAAGGTAAAATTTCTTAATGGTAAGCAAGGATTAGTGCTTTAGACCTATATGCTTGCTGGACTGGCTGCTTGATGATTGCTCTCGTTCTTTGGTAATTTCCATCTCAATTTTGGCTTTGATTTTCTCCCAATCTATTTGGAGCTGCAAAAGAAGAAAAGAAGAAAAATACTGATATAGTATAACACAGTTTTGCTTAATCCAAGGTAACCAAGAGTAAACAAAAAATAGAATGATGGCTTCTAAATCACTAGAGAAAAAAGAGAGCATGAAAGACAAGTTAAGGGGCGCCTGGATGGCTCAGTTGGTTAAGCATCCGACTTCGGCGCAGGTCATGGTTTCCAGGTTCGTGGGTTCGAGCCCCGCATCGGGCTCTGTGCTGACAGCTCAGAGCCTGGAGCCTGCTTCAGATTCTGTGTCTCCCTCCCTCTCTCTCCCCTTCTCCCACTCACTCTCTGTCTCTCTCTGTCTTTCAAAAATAAACAAATGTTAAAAAAAAAAAAGAAATAATGCTTAAATAAAAAATACCTTTAAGAATAAGACCAAACAAAACAATTACCACAATTAAAAGGAAAGATTCTCATCATGATTCAAAACACCAAAATCTAGTTGTAGCTGGTGATAAAACTACATCTAAATAGTCTCATGGAGCCTTCAGATTCTGCATAGGTGCCTCAGGGACAGGGGGAGAAGGTGGACTGTTCTCCTCCAAACAAGAGGAAAAAAGGACAGGGCCCTAGCCATGAGGCCATGTTTCAAATGGGTTAGCATTTTACCTTTTTTTTTTTCACTGAGGTTTCCATTAGAGCCTAGGTATGAGTAAGAATAGGGGAGCGTTTGCTTCTCCTGAGCATACTCTGAAAAAGGGACTCCTTTACAACAACTATTAAAGTAATACAGACATGGTGATGGTTTAGACAACAACAAAAAGATATTAAAGAAAGTGCAGTGCATAATCAAGGCTGGGGGACATGTAAAAACAATCACTGAAAAGTACCATTTTTATGTTTCCATTTTTTTTAATCTCTATGCCCAACGTGGGGCTCAGACTCAAAACCGGGAGATCAAGTCACATGCCCCACTGACATGGGGCCATTTTTCCAGCCATGCCTTCTACCCTGCCTTTCCCCTAAGCTGATTATACTTGCTGTTAGCTATGGACTCTGCCCTGACATCTGTGAACAATTTCTTTAGGAAAAAGCATTCTATTGTTTAGAAAAATTTGGAGATGACTACTTTAGGAATGTGTGTTGTCCCAGGCAAGGTACAGAAAAATTGGGTCCTAGATTAACCTAATTCCGATTTACAATGAAATAAGCCCCAACCCCTGAGACTGAGCCAAAAGTGAATAGGTTTTCATCTTCATATAGGGGAGTTGAGTGAAATAAGTAGCATTAAACCAGACTTAGGTACTACTTGCATGCCTGAGCAGATTTATTTTAAGTAACTGGGAGATAAGTTTAACCTTATCAGGGCTTTGTGCCTCTTTTATGCTGGAAGTTGATAAAGTATTGGTTCTTTTTTATTTCAATATCTTTCATCTAAATTTCTGCATGGTAATTTGTGGATATTTTGGCCACTTTAAAAAAGAGATAATTCCATATACTAGTCTATAATATATAAAATGGATGAATTAAAAGAATCCCTCTCACTCATAGAAGATGAATGTCTGTGGTAAGATGCAAGTGACCGCTCACTGAAAGGCAGAGCAAATGTTAAGACTATTTGAAAGACCCATTTTTCAATCAGGCCAGAACTTGATATTTTTAAATGGCAAAACACTCTATGTCTAACAAAACATTTGCAAAGAGAAAGACAAAACTTGATAAATGCCTTGGCCTTCTTCCAGCCTTAAATTGACTTACATATGTTTCTCAGATCAATCACAATAAAACCATATATTGACCGTACACTGAGCAACTGTTGCTCTGTTGTACCAGAAGTCCATCAAGTAAATTGATGCCATCTATTCTATCACTTGTTAGAGTACAAATGAGGGAGCCAGTTGATAGTTATCCTATTGAAAATGAATGCTTCACTTTCACTTTGGCATTTATCCAGTTTTAGAACAGTGTTCTACTGCTAATTTAGTTCTTGGACTAGAATACTTTTACTAGTGGGTTTTAGATAAGGATGTACTCATCATGACAGCTTTCAAGTGACTGATCTCTACACCAAGACACATCTTTTCCTATTATAGGGTGTGTTAGTACTATTTGGCACTTCTTATTCTAGTCCCTGGTAAATTCTTCTTATTCACATAGAAGTAATTTCAAAATCATACCAAATGGCTTTCCAGAGAATACAGTGGTCATCAGACATGAATTTGCTTAATCTCCTTCTTCACACAAATTTACCTACATTTGTATTCATCTCTCTTTCCCTTCTGTCTCAGGCCGACCTCTTCACATACATCCCTGATCCCATCTTCTTCCACTCCCCTGGGACATCTGCCTTCAGTTATATTACTCACATTTTCAATTTCCTTGCTACACTGGCTGCTGCTCATCATCCTTCCCCCTCAATTCTGTCTCCCTGCAAACTACCACCCTCGTTCTTCTTCTCATTCCTGACTCTCATTTTGTCCTCAGAACACGATAATGTGACTGTGCTCCTACCACACTTCATGAACTTTTCACTAAAGCCACCATCAAGTGTTTTCATTCCTCATCCTACATATGATTCGATTACTCATTCAATAAGTATTTAGTGCTTACTATATGCCAAGGATTGTTCTAGGTGGAAGGCTTCAGCAGTGAATTAATTGATAAAAATCAGTCTTCATAGAAAGATAAGCAAAGACAAATAATAGTGGAAGATATAAAAATATATAAAATGTGAGAAGTGGTAAGAGTTTTGGAAACAGCGAAAGGAAATACTGAGTGCCAGGGGTGGAGTTGGGGGAAGGGGGTGTTGCATTCTTTTTTTAATTTTTTTAATGTTCATTTATTTTTGAAAGAGATGGAGACAGAGCGTGAGCAGGGGAGGGGCAGAGAGAGAGAGGGAGACACAGAATTGGAAGCAGGCTCCAGGCTCTGAGCTGTCAGCACACAGCCCGATGCGGGGCTCAAACTCATGAACCATGAGATCATGACCTGAGCTGAAGTCAGATGCTCAACCAACTGAGCCCCCCAGGCGCCCCTTTAAAAGCCTGACGTGGGGCTTGAACTCACAAACCGCGAGATCATGACCTGGGCTGAAGTTGGGGGCTTAACTGACTGAGCCACTCAGGTGCCCCTAAAAATATATAAAATGTGAGAAGTGGTAAGAGTTTTGGAAACAGGGAAAGGAAATACTGAGTGCCAGGAGTGGAGTTGGGGGAAGGGGGTGTTGTATTTTAAACAGAGTGGTAGGAAAAGATGTCCCTGAGAATTTGACGTGAAGACCTAAAGGAGATTAGTGAGTCCATGGGAATATCTGAGGAAGAGCACACTGACAAAAGGAAGGAAAAGGTCCTGATGTAGAAGCATTCCCTAGATCTTGCTGACCAAAGTTCTTTGAAAAATCTCTGACTATATAATACCATTCTCTTCTGGTTTGTGCTCTCCTTTCTCCATGTTCTCAGTCTTTTTTTCCTCCTGTTTCTTTTCCCTAGACAACCTCTTTTTTTTTTAAGTAATTTATACTTTGTTTTACTTAATTTTTAAAAAATTTATTTGAGAGAGAGAGCATGTGTGCATGTGAGTGGGGGAGGAGGGTAGAGGGTGAGGGACAGAGGGAGAGAGAGAGAATTTCAAGCAGGCTCCACTCTCAGCATGGAGGGGACGAGCCGTAATCAAGAGTTGGACGCTCAACCAACTGAGCCACCCAGGTACCCCTCCCTAGGTAACCTCTTAGCTGTTAGTATTTGTATTCACCAGGATTCCAACCACAACTTTTTTTATACTTTCCTAGGAGATGACATCAACTTTCATACTTTCAACTATGCCTACATGGTCATGACCATAAATTTATTTATCATGCCCTGATTCCTCTTTGTCAGTATCCTTCAATGTTCACAATTATATTTCCAATTGCCTATTAGATATCTCCATCTGGATATCCCACAGGGACTTCAAACAAAAAAAAATGTATATTTTCATGTATTCAAACTCAAAAGGTCTAAAACTTGTATATTCTCACTGTTCCTTATCTAGATTAATGGCATCCCTCTCCATCTACCAGTCAACCACACCAGAAATGTTGAAGTTGTTCTCAAATGTCTTGCCTAACCAACCTAACTACCACCCCAACCATCTCCTGGTGAAACTATTATAGTAATCTCCTAACTGATCTCCTAGTCACCACCCTTACCTCTGATCCATCTTCTACACCAAAAGGTATCTTTCAAATCATTCTCTTGATTGCAAACCTCCAAGCCTTCCCATTGCCTGCATTATGAAGTCTATTCTCTTAACATGGTATTAAGACCCTCCAATGTCTGTTCCCAACCAATATTCCAACTACTCAGTACCCAGGATCCAGAGCAGTTACTAGGGACTCCTTCCCATTCTTTCAAGACCTCACACATTTGGTCTTATTATCATATATATCCTTTAACACTGATAAAACCCTACTCAAGATAATTTTGTGGAAAACTCTTTAGTTTCCATTTATTTTGAGGAATCAGGATTTTAAAAGGGAAAAGCAATCATGTTACCTCCTTTTAATGACTTCACATATGTCTTAGCATAGAGTCCAAAATCCTTAATTTGCCCTATGAAACCCTCAAGTTAATCTCCCTTTTGTTCTTTACTGTTTCCCATTTAAGAGCTTTCTCTCTGCCTAGAACATGCCCACCCCCACTTCCTCTCCCACCCCAAATCCAGTCAGCTTCTACTATTTATTCTTTAGAGTTCAGCTCAAATATTGTTTGCCTTGCTTAGAAAGTCTTTGCTAATCCCCACCACTCTAGATCAGGTTCCCTACACATCAAGTTTTTTTTTAATGTTTATTTATTATTTTTGAGAGAGAGAACGTGAGCGGGGAGTGAGAAGAGAGAGGGGGGAACAAAGGATCTGAAGCAGACTTCACACTGACAACAGACAGCTTGATGTGGGGCTTGAACTTCTGAACTGCGAGATCATGACCCGAGCTGAAGTCAGATGCTTGACCAACTGAGGCAACCCCACCCATCAAGTTTTATAGCATCTTCAAGCCAATGATCACAATTGAAATTAACAACTGTATAATTAACTATAGCTTCCACTGAATACAAGCTTCATAAAGCTGGGGTCAGTGTCTGCCATATTTACTTTTCTATTTGAAATAGAAGGGGAGTACATTGTCTGCAGAAAGTACTCAATAAATATTGAATGAATAAGTAACTACCTACCAGATGAACTATCACCTACCAATATATATGTAGATACATAATAGATATAGATGTAGATACCTATATATGTAGATACATATATAGACATATATGTAGATATATATGTAGAGACATATAGATACATAGATATATATGTAGATACATATATAGATACATATATAGATATAGATATAGATATAGATAGATACATATATAGATATATAATCATAAGATTACAAGGCCTTAAAACCTGCAAAAGAGCTCAGGTAGTAGCTATGCCTAACATGGTTTGTCTGAACTAGAGTGCTGGCTCTTCTGCATCTTCTTCAAAATTCTATACTTTCTGAAAGTCTGTTCCCAAGTTGTTGGTTTGTTTATATTTCCACTGTTTTCTTTCTCCTAGAATAATGTTTTAAACATTTCTTGGTTCTTCTACTTTTCTTCTTGTACACAATATATTTGGTAGATTGTATATTCCTCAAGTGAATTTTATTGGCCGACTTACAAATTATTTTACAAATATTTACTGTTGTAGACCAGGTACAATGACTCTAGTTGGGATCTTAGAAGACAGTCCACCTTGTATAAATCCCAGGTTTCCATATTTTAAACTAGAAATGCCCAAATAACATTTCAGGGCTCATGAATACAAACATATATGAAACTTTTGACTTCGTATAAGCTTCCACATTATGTACTATGAACCCACCAGAATTCACTAGATATCTAGAATAAATTTCTTAGTTTTTAAAAATGCTCTCTTAACACTTAGCAAATAAAATGTTTATATAATCAAAATTTTGACTAAGGTAGATAAATAGTGGGAAATTTTTGAGTAAAAAATAATTTTCATCTTAAAATACTGCTTTATAATTTCTAGTTAGCTTCCAAATTACATTTATGAGGAAAAAAAAGGATACTAGAATGTAGGACCATAGGTAGTCAAAGTAACCTATATAGTTTCAGGATTAAAAAAATCTCTGAAAATTTTTGCCACTCTTGTGATTGAAGTATTACATTTTGGTTAACAGTTGAATACATAGATAATAAGAAAGAAGATAAAAATGTTAAATTTTTACTATCTAAAATACAATTTTAATTATAGTGATGTAATAATTATAATATAAATTACAATAATTATAAATTTGTGGGGAAGAGTTATATTTTCTATGTCCTCCAAAGCACCTAATGTGAAAATACTGAAAAATATATTGATGGCAAGGATGATGAAGAGGAAGCAGAGTAGTATGTATCTGCTTAAAATTATGCCATAAAGTAAATTTAACATGGGTGCTCAGTTTTAACATATCATCATATTTTCAAAACCATGACAAAAAGATCAGGTGATTGGTGATTCTCTAGGCTGCTTAGCACTGTAGGGGTGATGGCTGCTGTCCTATTCTGTGGATTAGAGTGTAGGCCTCAGAGGTCCCAGGGACCCTGAGTTTGTCCCAGTAGTAGAGCAAGCTCTCACAGCCCAAACTCCTAGAGGATTCATTTTTAATAGTGAAGCTTCAAATGAAACAAATAGACTGTGGAGCATCTGTAAAATACACCTCTTCCTACCAAGAAACAGACAGCTTGTGTCTGTCCTGGATCTAGATGCTGAAGTTGCACTGCAGAACTCCAAGAATGGTTTCAAAGGCTTTACTACCTTGAGAGCTGTTCTGAAGTCCAAAACTGCAGATCATGACACTCAGTATTCTAAATATGGTGTGAGGCAATAGAAAATACATATATTGGTCGCTGCTCCCAGTTTCTGGCAAAGAACTCCTAGAACTCTTGTAGTTTCCTAAGTGATAACAGCACTAGGAACATCTTTTGTTCTAATATTTGGTCTTTGACCTCAGTTCCTGACACGGGGCTTTCTGAGTGATAGAAGCATCTTTTGTTTTAAAGAGACAACTCTGGGAGAGTCCTTGGATGGCTTCCAGTTGAGGGCTGATCACCAGAAAGACCAAGTCATGATTAGAAGCTAGGAATTTTCAGTCCTGCCCCCATTCCCTTGGGAAGGAAGAAAGGTTGAAAATGGAGTTAATGGCTGATCATGCCTATGGGATGAAGCCTCGATAAAATAGCAAAGTACAGGGTTCAGAGAACTCCTGGGCTGGTGAACACATCCACACTGGGAGGGTAACACACCCCAACTCTGAAGAGACAGGAGCTCCTGAGGGTAGGACCTTCCCTGACCTTGCCCTAAGTATCTTTTCATCTGGCTATTCATCTGTACCCTTTATCATATCCCTTAATAAACTGGTAAACATAAGTAAATGTTTCCTTAGTTCTGTGAGCCACTCTAGCAAACTAACCAAACCAGAAAGGGGGAATGGGAGCCTCTGACTTATAGCAAGTCAGTCAGAAGTACAGGTAACAACCTGGACTTGTGACTTGCATCTGAAACCTAAGGCAGGGGTTACTGGGACTGCAGATCTATAGCTGGTCAGTCAGAAGCACAGGTGATAATCTGAGCTTGTAACTGGCATCCGATGAGGAGTGAGGGCAATCTTGTGGGAATGAGCCCTTTACCTGTGGAATCTGATACTATCTCCAGTTAGGCAGTATCAGAGCTGAGTTAAATTGTAGAACACACAGCTGGTGTTGGAGACTGCTTGTTGGCATGAGGGGAAACCTCCACATGTTAGGTGACCAGAAGTGAAGTGTTCTGTGTGAATAGTAAAGAAGACTTACAGGTGAAAGACTCAGAGCAGGGAAGAACTGTTTTTCCCTACATAAGAGGAGAAAGACTGAGTTTATCAAGTCATATGATAAATGTATAATGTTGGCTTTAGTAGAAATTGTAGGTACCTTCTTTCCTCTTCCTAAGGTTCCTCTAATTTACTCTGCCCTTTAGGACAGGTCAGAACATTCCATTTTATTCCATCTCCAAGGAGCAGCACTCCCACATAGTCTACAAGCTCCACAAAAACAGAAGCCATATCTGACTCAGCATCCAGCATAATACCTGGCCCAGAGTGAGCACTCAAACATTTTTTTAATAAAATGAATAAAAGGCTGAGAAAATCAACTGGTTCACAGAGGTGGGAGGAAGGTTGCCCCTGTCTTGGGACTGTAAGTCTCTTGGGTCTGCATGGCTAGAGGTGAACTCTCTTTCTGTAGCCTGAGCCTAGATGGATCTAAGCAGGTAGCTACAATAGTCCTGCTCTAGGCATTTGGGCAAAATGCACATGGGCTGATACATACTGGAATGACTTTCTTCTAATTATAGTGATGAAACCTGAGATTCTGGTAGGGATTTGAGAGGCAATGGTTTAGCCTTCTTTGGTTCTAGACAGTGAAGTCTACCTGGGCTAGGCTCCACTCTAGGTGCAAACTAGCTCCCTAGAATTTTGCAAAGTGACAAAGTATCCATTTTCTGGCCAATGCCCTCTGTGCTTATATATTTCCCCTGGAGCAGAAGGGGCAGCTGGTGGAAGACAAAATTTAGGAGTTAGAAACCTTTATCCCAGCCATTTATATTGTTTATCTAAAAATATCAATTAGCACCCAACCTTAATACAAATTAAATACGAAAACAGATTTGAGTTCATCAAAACATGGCTTTAAGATTCCAGAAAAAAATCAGTAATATAATTATATAGTCAAAATAAGACTATAATATCATAAGGCAAAAAGTGATTTTGAGATTATGGTATGAATTATTCCAATTTTGTCTTATTAAGATGAATATTATATATACTTACAAAGCATATACATTATTGTAAAATACTGTATAATACTTACACCTTCTGCATACTGCAAATACCGTTTATTAGTTTCCTGTTTACCAAATGTCTCCAAAAACTTTTGCCGGTAAGCAAGAACTGTATCAACGTGTGTTTTATATTTTACAGCCAATTCAAGTGCCCTATAATGAGAGACAAAACAGATAATCAGCATTGCTTGAATTAGAGTTTTGGGGTAACAGAGTGAGACAAATGGTCTATGTTGTTCCCTTTCCACTCATCCTTCAATATGGAACACCATTCCCTACCTCATCCATCTTGCAAATTCCAACTTATGCTTCAAGGTCCAGATCAAACATCATCTCTTCTCCCTGACCAGCCCTCCTTGTAGAAATAAAAGACCATTATCTTATCTGTGCTCCATGACATTTTATGCATACTATTATGACAGCACTGCTTACAGATATTATAATTATTTACGAATCTGTTTCTTCCATAACCTGTACATTAACTGAAGGGAGATCTAGGTTTCATTTCTCTTTGGTGAGTATACCATAGTCTATGTATGGTAAATGTTCATTGAAAAATTAATTGAAATCATAATAAAATTCAAGTGAATGAACTCCCCCCCCCAGTGTAAGTGGTTCCACTATCTTGACAATTTTTTTAAGTCTATAATTTATTCTGCTCCAGAATTTATTTATCTACAGTCTAGAATGTATTCTGGTCAATATTCAAATAAATACTGATATCCTTTATGTTATAACACAGCAAATTTAAAATATTATAAAACTAAAATTTGTGGATAATAAAAATCTGACAAAATCTTTTGCCATTTGATTCTTAGAATAAGTTAATACCCATTTAAATTTTATAATCCAATTAATATCTTTCAATGTAACTTATTTTCAAGGTAATATTTTATTTAAATAGCAGGCAAGAACTAAATTAATTGCTAAAATCAGTGGTACAATACCAAAGACATAAAATCTATGTATTGATAATTTCGAGGGAAATGAAAAGATTAATCTTCAGTTCTTGGCCTATTTGTGTATGTAGGTTTTGGACAGTATCTCAGCCCATGATCCTGTGCATAACTCGTATGAGTTGAGTCAGGAAAAATCCAGTATAGTATAGCTCTCCTACACTGTTCACTATAATCTTGTTTTAAAGTATGGGAAATGGCCATCATAATAGCTAAAGTATATCCTTTTTCAAGTTCCCTTGTTTTCTCATATGATATATGACTTCTGAATAGGCCAGTCATGATTTATGTATCAGAGCCAAATACTGTAAATCCGTTGTTTAGACAATACTGACTACTGACTAGATTTTTGCAACATGTGACCCTTCAGTAGGAAAATGTTTCATTTTTAACATGCTTTGGTTTGACCTAAATAGTCACTTTAAAAAGTATTTTAGGGGTGCCTGGGTGGCTCAGTTGGTTAAACGCCCGATTTCCGCTCAGGTCCGGGCTCTGTGCTGACAGCTCAGAGCCTGGAGCCCACTTTGAATTCAGTGTCTCCCTTTCTCTCTGCTCCTCCCCTGCTCATGCTCTGTCGCTCTCTCCTTCAAAAATAAACACTAAAAAAAATTGTTTTAAGTATCTTAGATATGCTGTGTATATTAATTGACAGTTGATAGAAAACCGAGAGAAATATTAAGACAATATAAAAAGTTATGAATTTAAGTCAGGTGTAATACAAATGATAATGCCAAAATTCAGCACAATGATTTCTTTTTTTTTTTTAATTTTTTTTTTCAACGTTTATTTATTTTTGGGACAGAGAGAGACAGAGCATGAACGGGGGAGGGGCAGAGAGAGAGGAAGACACAGAATCGGAAACAGGCTCCAGGCTCTGAGCCATCAGCCCAGAGCCCGACGCGGGGCTCGAACTCACGGACCGCGAGATCGTGACCTGGCTGAAGTCGGACGCTTAACCGACTGCGCCACCCAGGTGCCCCGCACAATGATTTCTTATAAAAGTATATGTACATATTGCTAAATCCATGGATCAGTATTTGCTACCCATTACAATCTCCTCACAAAGTTCCCTCATTCCTCTGTGACTTTAAGTCTTTCAGAGAAAAAGAGGGACACAGAGAAGAATGTAGAAGTACTGCAATTTAGAAAAACAAGTGAAATGCAAGAAGGCAAAAACCAGTTTATGGGGTATCAAAAGAGGAGAAATAGAAGTAAAGATGCTTTAATCCTTCTTTTTTTAATTTTTAAAATGTTTTTATTTATTTTCGAGAGAGAGAGAGAGAGACAGAGTGCGAGTAGGGGAGGCGCAGAGAGAGAGGGAGACACAGAATCTGAAGCAGGCTCCAGGCTCCGAGGTGTCAGCACAGAGCCCGACACGGGGCTCGAACTCACCAGCCATAAAATCATGACCTGAGCCGAAGTCAGATGCTCAATGATCTGAGCCATCCAGGCGCCCCATGATGTTTTAATCCTTCTAATCCTCTCCCATATCACCCTCCATATACCCCTAAGGCTCTGACTCCAGTGTGGATGTGTGAGTGGAGACTCTGGTGAACCAGTCCTCTGGCACCTGAAAAATGCCATTTCCCATTCCTTTTTTATGACTGAACATGACTGGGGAAGGAATTTTTGATTGTACAAAACTAGAAGTATTCCAAGTGGGGAATACGTAACCATTTTTCGGTTGGGACTTTTCAAAAAGAAAATTATCTCCAAAGAGATCATTGTCATGGAACATTAGTACATTTAATTATGTATGAAGGATAAAATATAATGTCTAATACCACATTTAGATACTAGATGCTAAGTATTATCTATATTATAGTCATTTTCATTATATAAAATATGTATTAATTATCTGATTGAAGAGCAATAGCTAAAGGTAAACATTCAAATTATATGTGTTTTTTTATATGTTCTCTAAAATCTCTATATTTTAAATGTTCTCTAAAAGCATACACTGGGTAAGAAATGTTTCTTTATCACACAGAGAAGGAAATTCACTCCAAATTATATAAGGGTTATGGGAACAGCATGTCTTTAGCTTTAAAATGGTTATTTGGCAACCAAACAAATGTGACATTAGATTATGGGGCTGGAATAAATCCATGTATCCTCCCTGATTTTAAATAGAAGGAAGTTATATAAAAAGATTTTGTAACTTCAAAATATGATCTTTTACATAACTTTAATGAAGCAAAATCACTTTATATAACTGGTAGAAACAGAGAAATTGTTTTTTATTAATACATAAAGTTTCTAGTGTCTATCTCTCTTAACTTCCATTTTTGAGAACAGATTACTACCAAATGTCCAAAGTGAACATCAAGTAGATGACCTGCTTACCTACAACTTTTCAAGGGCTGCAACTTATTAGGTTGCAGGTAATTTTCAAATTCAAATATGAATAACAGAAGCACAAATCAGCAAGACTGCTTCTCAAATGGAATAAACATATTAACAAAATGAAATGTGCTCCCTTCTAAAGGATTTAAACAAATATAGAAATTCAGGGATCTTAAAAGAAGTCTAATATATTTGTCATCTGATACTTAAATTCTATCCTTCCAGTATTTTAATTAATTAATGGATCTGGGCAATGATTATTAATGGCTGCTAACATCACAAAAAGAAAGACAACCAGTCATTGTGAAAATATATTCAACACTACCTCTGTGATACGAGGTGTTCCCAAAAGGGGAAAAAAAATATTAAACCTAAATCTAATCAAGTTTCTAGATTCAACACCAATTTATGGTTAATTCAAGCGGCAAAGGAACGTGTCAAATGACACCACAGAGATGCAATCAGCAAAATCCAGATTATAGGAAACTCTAAAGGCCCAGTTTCTGTAGTGGGAAAATTATAAGAAAACATAAGAAATAGGAAAACCTATAGATTAAAAGAAAAGAACATATCTAGGAGTCATAATGTATGGAAATTTTTTTGGATCTTGAATCAAACAAACAAACCATAAAACAAAACAAAACATTTATGAGATGATCAGAGAAATAAGAACACCGAAAGGAATTACTGTTAATTCTTTAAAGTGTGACTGTGATATTGTGGTTAGATTTTTAAAAACCTTGAGATACATACTGAAATACTTATAAATAAAGTGATATGATGACTGGGATCTGCTTATTAACAAATGGTAGGGTAGAGGTAGATAGATAAAAGTGATGAAAGACATGTCAAACCTGAAAAAGTCAGCATGCCAATTTTATAACATAGTAACTTCAGGTGTGTATAAGCACTGCAGCCTCTTCCCTGAGAGATGAATACCTGAGAGAATGAGGAGATATACCTGATATGCCACAGCAAAGAGCAGTGTGCCACTCACTCTCAGAAAGCAATGTGTCAAAGCCTCATGTAGAGGAGAAGGCCACTACTGAGCACTCCTCATTTCAAATCTGATGGCCTTTCTTCCTTAGCAACACAAATTTCTCATGGCTCTTCTCTCTGCCTGTCTGACTGCTTTATTCAAATCTTTCAACAGATTTCTTTTCTTTCACCCAACCCATAAACGTAGTTGATATCTTCTCACTCCACACATTTCCTGAGCAATTGTGTCCATTCTTTTTTCTTCAACTGCCCTCCACTTGGCTAATGGCTGCTAAATCTACATCTCTAGTTCAAATCTTGCTCATGAGCTCCAGGTTCATTAATCAACTATTATCACATATCTCTTCACAAAATTTCAAATCCAACATGCCTAACACTGAACTCACTATATTGCCTTCCAAACCTGCCAATATTACTACCATCATCTATTGGTAGTAATTCAATCTTAGTTATTGAATAACTCATTCAACCTGAGTTATTGAAATCAGAAAATTGGAAGACATCCTAGATTCTCTTTTCTTCTTCACACCTCAACTTCAATCAATCACAAGTTTAGCAAAGGCATAAATCTTCAATGGCAAACTACTCACAAATATAAATGTGAATAAATTCTTCTGTGATGTTAGGAAACTATTAAGTACAGTGGAAAACGTAATTTACCAAGTGGTAGATAGAAGAAACCATTAAGATCAATGGGTTTTAGAATTGGTGAAGAACATTTTTATTACCTTTCCCAGTTATAGAGATTAATATTGATCTGGATCGCTTGATAAACAAGGCCAGCCTGAAGAAGTACCATTTCAGCCTCCTGTATGTTCCCACTAAACATTAGTATGTGAGCCATTTTTGATTCTTTAGATGGAAGATCTTTTATAGAATTGATGTACTGAACCTTATCAATCTAAAAAAAGAAAAAATATATGAAGTAGAGTAACAGAAAGGGAAGAAAAACTGCAAACATATAGGTAAGTAAACATTATTTACTTCACCAATTGCTGCATAGGCTATTTCTGCGGTAGTCATATCTCTATTAGCAACTGCCATAGCAGCTAGGCAAGCCCACATGGTTTGCTCCTAAAGTGAAATAGGAGAACAATTATTTCAACTAGAAGCAGAACTGCCTTAAAATAAACAGTGACTTAAAATATATAAAAGTTAACATTTTAATGAAAAAATTAAAAATTGTTGAGCATGGCACTGAAAAAACTAATTTAATAAATTAATCATGTGGAAATTTCATGTGGGTACTTTGTTGAAATATATTAATAACACAGAGAACTTCTTTTGAATACAAATCATTACAAAATTTCATTTCTAATTATCAAAGATTTATTTTTGAACTTATGATACACTTTTAAGATAATTTAAGGTTATAAACCCTCCAGTATTTCTGATGAGGTCAAAGAATGTAACTTACAAGGAGCCAGAGAAATAGTGAGGTTCTCAGACAATGCTATTACAGCAGATTTCTATCAACGACTCATTGTAAGGGAAAGCATCTAAAGGTCATTTTAAAAGTATTATTTTAAGCAATGCTAACCCATGTAAAATTAAAAAGTTCTGGGGTCAGGGGCACCTGAGTGGCTCAGTTGGTTGAGCATCCAACTTCAGCTCAGGTCATGATTTTGCAGTTTGTGAGTTCAGGTCCCGCCTTGGGGTCTGTGCTGACAGCTCGGAGCCTGGAACCTGCTTCGGATTCTGTGTGTCATTCTCTCTCTGACCCTCCCCCTTGTGCTCTGTCTCTCTCTGTCTCTCAAAAATAAATAAAAATGTAAAAAAAAAAAAAATTTAAAAAAAAGTTCTGTGGTCAAATATGTTTGGAAAATACTGGATTCAACGAAGTGGATTCAACCAAGTGGGAAATGCTGGTCTAAAGTAGAGGTTCTAGGGGCACCTGGGTGGCTCAGTCGGTTGGGTTGAGCATACGACTTCGGCTCAGGTCATGATCTCACAGTTCGTTAGTTCAAGCCCCATGTCGGGCTCTGTGCTGACAGCTCAGAGCCTGGAGCCTGCTTCAGATTCTGTGTCTCCCTCTCTCTGCCCCTTCCCCACTCATGCTTTGTCTATCTCTCAAAAATGAACAAACTTTAAAAAAAAATTAAAGTAGAGGTTCTTAACCTTAGGTGTACAAATCATCTGAGGATTTTTAAAAATATGCCCAGGGTTCATTCCAGATCTAATAAATTGGAAGCTCTCTTGGGATAAAACTTGGGAATCTGACTTCTTTTAAAAAAAGTTCCAGAGAAGATTTCTATATGTGCCAGTATAGAGAAACTACTCATTTAAATTATAGCTTCTTTAAGAGTAAATCACACAGCAATATCTACCCCCCTGTGTTGCTCATGTCTTCACTTATTAAAAAAAAAAAAAAAAAAGACATGATCTCATTTGCAATTTTCCAGCCCTTAGCTGTTACCATTTCTTTTTTTTTAATGGTTATTTATTTATTTTGAGAAAGAGAGAGAGAGAGATTGCGAGTGAGTGGGGAGGAGCAGAGAGAGAGGGAGAGAGAAAGAATCCCAGGCAGGTTCCCCACTGTCAGTGCAGATCCCAATGTGGGGCTCAAACTCATGAACCATGAAATCATGACCTGAGCTAAAGTCTGATGCTTAACCTACTGAGCCACCCAGGTGCCCAGCTGTTACCATTTCTTATCCTACACAAAGATATGTGTAAATACACAATATATACACAAACATGGATCTAAAATAACATAAAGTACCTTAACAAAACGACAAAGTCTTACACCATCTTCCCATTTTGAACTGCTTACATATTCATGGAGAATACCAGGATATGGTGATATGCTGATGTGAATCAGTGAGCCATCAGCTCTTCTTATAGTTACCTGATTTCCAACAAAACTCACAATATGGGGATTTTTACTAAATTCACTGTTGGGAAAAAGCAAAGTATAATTTATATTCTGAGCAAAATCTTTCATATACTAATTAGGGGAGTTTACACTTGACACAGATATAAAGTCTCCAAATCTCTAAAATTCACTCCCAAAAAAGTTAACTTCAGGGAGAATGTATATATTTAAATAAACATTTGAATCTAACTTGCTCCAGTTGGAGCAAAATATAAAAGTTTAATGTGGCAAAAATTATTTGGGAGCTATGCCTAAAAGCATTTGAAATAAAATTTTTTCCCTAAGTCTTAAGGTAAATTATACAAATGATTAAAAAACAGCTTCAGTTTTTGAAAGTATAAATGAATAGAAAATTTGGGGCGCCTGGGTGGCGCAGTCGGTTAAGCGACCGACTTCAGCCAGGTCACGATCTCGCGGTCCCGGAGTTCGAGCCCCGCGTGAGGCTCTGGGCTGATGGCTCAGAGCCTGGAGCCTGTTTCCGATTCTGTGTCTCCCTCTCTATCTGCCCCTCCCCCGTTCATGCTCTGTCTCTCTCTGTCCCAAAAATAAATAAACGTTGAAGAAAAAATTAAAAAAATAAAATAAAATAAATAAATGAATAGAAAATTAAGCTGATTCTAAGGTTATTTTCTGATAATAAAAAGAGGTGAACTTGAAGTAAAGTGACTAACTTCATTAGTTTAAATACTTTTAAAATGATGCTTCTCTGGTTTTGCTAAAGTTGTGAATTGAATATTAAATGAACTCAAAATAGATTTGAAAGTTAAGCTAAGTTTTGGAGTTGAGAAGTTTTGTATTCTTATTTTGTCAAGAGTGAGAGATCTTGCTATTTCCTAGAGAATTTAGGAATATACATGTATTTTCTGAAGCATATAAAATTTAAAAAAAAGACTCTTCAGTAACCTTATATACTTTTCTATCTTTAATACTAACTTAGAAATTCAATTCTAGAGACACATAAATTCCTGAAAGTATGACAATAATTAATAATTTATGATAATCTGAAAAAGGAAAGATTGACACGTTACGTACCACTGAAAAATCTTTAAAATGTCCATATTAAAATCACTAAACCACACTGAAAAAAAAAAACACCTGAGTTTTTTTACATTAGGCTTGAAACATTAGGCTTGAAAATTATATTTATGTAGGGAAAATTATATCCATAGAAGGAACAAATAAATATAATAGTATTATACAACACTTTCAACTTGACCCCCAAACTTAAATCTCATCAAGCTAGCTTTAGCTGAACAATTTGGCAGAGTGAAAGGTACCTTTCAGGATTGACATTAAAGGCAAAAACATGACACTTTAGAGTTATTTATCACTATAAACAATTCCAACAGTAAATGCAGTTACCTTGCATCCCTTTCATATAATGTTTTAGGCAAAATGTCTCTGTCGACATAAACTGTATTGGGGTAGTACCACACTGTAAATCGAGTATCCTGAAGTCCACAAAGGATATTGCATGTATCACTCCATGCCAAAGTATGCACCATTGTTCCTTATTTTAAAAAGAATGTTAATGTACGATTAGTTCCACTATAATAAGTATTAAAATATTTTAAAAATCAACTGACACACAGGACCCCATCTAATTTCTTGTAGGTATGACTCTATTTTCTGATTGTATAATGGTGAAACATTTGCAAAAATTCACTTAAAAATTTATGGGAATATTTGAATATTTTACCTAGAACCATCATGTTTTTAATTTGCAAGTCTTTCTTTCAATGCATTATTCAGAGATTAATTCAAGCAATCAAAAATTTAAATGTATTATAATTATTTTACCAAGTTTGATAATTTGTTCTTCCTTCCCAAATCGTTTCACTGAGGTGATATAGAGATCTCTATTTTTATCAATGAAGGCAATTTTTCTGTCATTGGTAAGTCCTTTTTGATCCAGAGCAATTTCCAAAATTTCATTCTAAAATTTAGAAAAAATGAAAATATTGGATTAGTTTTAGTGCTTGATATCAGATCATTTAAATTATTTAATTATAAAAATGTGTTTATTTAAAGATCAATTAAATATCACTCCCTTACTTAGAATGATAAACTGTCCCTGATAAATAATTTTAAACTACTGATTTAATTCATAAGCTAAAGCACAGTTACTTTTTTTTTAATTTACAGGGGAAAGATGCCCCTTAAAACACTATAATATAATGTATATATTTTTGAAACTCTGGAAGCTGAGAAATACTTTTGTCCTCCTGTCCCACCTTTACTAGACAAAGTGAAAGGGTGAGGCAAGTCTGAATATCACAAGAGAGATCTACTAATTACATTTATGTTCCATAACAAAATGTACTCTAAGAGCCTATATTTTAAAGATTTATAAGAATACATTTATGAAAATATCTCATGTTTTAGACACTTAAATTTTATAGATTCTCTCACATTTATTTCCTGTGAAACAGGAAACAACCTAGTGCTATAGGTATCACCATACTTACTTTATGGACAAAAAGACTGAGATGCATAGCCAGTAAGTGATTTTGCTCAGAAAAAGCTGGTAACAAGCATATTTAGAATTTAAAGTCCAGATTTCTGACTTTAAGATTAGTATTTTTGTCCACATAACAAAGTATTTCTGGCATATGACGTTAATCTATTACACTATTATACTAGCTACTGAAATGAATTTCTTTATAACTTGGAAATGGTTCAGTGTGGATTCATTTCAACTAAATCCAAGAGGGATTTATTTACTGCTTACTATGTCTTAAGACTTGCTAAGACTTTAAAAAAAAATTTTTTTTTACACTTGCTAGGATTTGTTTTGTTTTTTGAAGGTGTTATGATAGTACCTTAAATGTCCATCATTTGAGCACATGTTGAATAAATTCAGATACGTCCATAAAATGTTACGCTGTATGGTTGTGGGAAAAGGATTAAGAAAACACTTCATGTATTGATATAGAAAGATCACCAGAAATAGTGTTGTGTGAGAAAAGCAATGTACAGACTTGTATGTTACATTTTCGTAAAAAAGGAGTTAAAAACATATATCAATTTTGTTTGTATATGCACTAAAAATCTCTGAAAGGAAAAGGGAGTTTAATAATGGTAATTACCATTATTAAATGGAATTGGATTGACAAAAAGGGGTGTAGGAGGGAGACTTTTTCACTGTATACTTTTCTGTAATTTTTCATTTCTAAACCTTTTGAATTTATTTGTTATTCAAATTTAAAACTAATAATTACAAAAATTAGAAAAAATATATAGTCAGGCTTCACTAGTGGCATTGAACAATAAAGTTAGAAACATCTTTAGACCCAAATATATCTCTTACTAGAATAAATAAAATGTGTTCCTTTATTTACTTTATTTAAAAATTTTTTTCATGTTTATTTATTTTTGAGAGAAGAGAGATAGAGTATGAGTGGGGGAGGGGCAGAGAAAGAGGGAGACACAAAATCTAAAGCAGGCTTCAGGCTCTGAGCTGTCAGCACAGAACCCGAAGTAAGGCTTCAACTCACAAATTGTGGGATCATGACCTGAGCCAAAGTTGGAGGCTTAACTAACTGAGCCACCCAGATGCCCCTCCTTTGTTTATTTTAATTTTTTAATGTCTTTATTTTATTTTGAGAGAGACAGAGTGCGAGCAGGGTAGGGGCAGAGAGAGAGGGAGACACAGAATCTGAAGGAGGCTCCAGGCTCTGAGTTGTCAGCACAGAGCCTAATGTGGGGCTTGAACTCACAGTCTGTGAGATCATGACCTGAGCTGAAGTTGGACACTTAACCGACTGAGCCACCCAGGTGCCACCATCCTTTGTTTATTTTAATGCTAAAAATCAGAAACCAATAAGCAATTCACAATTTGGGGTCTTTTCATACTTCTATGGAACTTTTTTCCAGTTTAACTACAGTGTTAAAACCTAAAGAAAATGCTGGCTAAGGACAGGTCAATGAGAAAACTGCAAGATGTTTAGAAATATAAAAACATTTTTATATACTGATAGGTGCTAAAAGTTTAATCAAGATGGGACATTTTATTAAAAAGCAGTAAAGAGCCTGAAAAATAGACATGTAAGTCAGATTCTTTTATCCAATTAATTTGCAATTAGTTTTCTATTACAGAGTTTACTAGTGCTTAGTCTTTATGACATTTTTTAGGCAAAATACTCTATGTAGAATGCATACCAGATTTAAATATAAGACTAATTTCTATGTTTTATTTTCCTTAAAATGAAAACATTAAATTTAAAAAAGGAAGTAAATAGTGGCTAATTAACTTTAGAAATAGCTAATGTCCATTACCTTATGAGAAAGAAGCTTCCCGTCACCTAATGGTTTTCCAGTTGATGCCTCAAAAAGGAAGATTACTTGAAAAAAAAGTAAAGCATTAGTTAGTATATTATATTAGAATTTTTATTGGTAAACTTTAATCCTAATGAGAAATTATTTAACTCTTTGGACCATACAGTATCTATCAGAATAGAAGAGCAGCAGCATTAAATTCCTACTTATTAACAGGGTCATATTTCTTAGAATACTTCTTCCTAAACATACATTCCCTAATTAGAATAGTTATTAATGGTATGGCTTCACTTCTCCACAGGATTGACCATGGAAAGTCCAAATCTAGATGTAATTTTTAATTTTCAGAACTCTGATACAGACGAATATAAGATCATAGACAATCATATTTTACAAAAGAAAAATGTGTCAAGTGCCTACTATAATACTAGGCAAGGTGTTATGCACTGTTCCGTTCCCTGTGGTCAGTATACTACTGTGGTGTAATTAGTAATTTGCCCGGTTTTTGTCCTGTGTTCCTGGCAGGAAGCTTCAACAACCCTTGGAATATCCTGAGTGACAGGAATGTCCTAGTTATGTTAATGGGGAGACTCTTGGTGGGCCCTAGACAGCTTCAGAATTTGGTGTGTGGGAGGGGGCTGGAAGTTGAGTTCAATCAATGTGGCTAATAATTTAATTAATCATGCCCATGTAATAAAATCCCATAAAAACTCAGTGTTGCTTCCTCATCGGTGACAATATTGATATACTGGGAGGGTGATGTACCCTGACTCCATGAGAGGGCACAGGAGTTCTGTGTTCCTTCCCAGGCCTCATCCTGTGTGTATCCTTTGTAATAAAACTATAATTCTATGCATAGCACCTTCCTGATACCTGTGAGTCATTTTAGCAAATTATCCAATTTGAAGGGGTCATAGGAGTCCCTGAATTTGTAGCCAGTCAGTCAGCAAAATGGGTGGCCTGAGGACTCCCTGAGACTTGTGGCTAGTGTCCAAAGTGAGGGCAGTCTTGAGGAAAATTTTGCCTTTAAGCTTTTGAGTCTGGGTTAACTCCAGGTTATTAGTATGAGAAACTAATTGTAATACACTCAGTTAAGGTAAAAATGGAATAGTTGGTGTCTGGAAGGGTAGGATTCACTACACCAACCCTAACTCATAAAAACATGTGGCTTGGGGCACCTGGGTGGCTCAGTCAGTTAAGTGTCTGACTTTGGCTCAGGTCATGATCTCATGGTTCATGAGTTCGAGCCCCGTGTCAGGCTCTGTGCTGACAGCTTAGAGCCTGGAGCTTGCTTCAGATTCTGTGTCTCCCTCTCTCTCTGCTCCTCCCCCCCGCTCATGCTCTGACTCTCTCTCTCTTTCAAAAATAAAATATTAAAAAACAAACAAACATGTGGCTTGGGAAGAGAAAGAATGAAAGAATGGGGATGAGGAATGTCTGACTATTAGAAGCCACAAGGTGACCCATGGTATGAAACAACAGCTAAGTTGCAATTAGCTGTGAGAAGTTAAAAGTCACCTATGGAATTTGAGATGATGGATCCATCTCCTGGGGGAGTTGGCTCACTAGATGCATAAGAAAGTGGAAAATAATAAGAAAAGAGAAAAATATACAGTCCCATAGTTATTATAATATCTAATAGGTGAAATGAAAGTAAGAGATGGGTCAAATATAGATTCTGGCCACTCTCAAATACAGCCTCTAGTATCAGGGCCCCCACTGAAGGAATGTGTTCGAGAAGATCCTGATTCTGGTCAGCCTGAGGTACAGCCACTATCCTCAGATAAGGCCCTCATTCCAGCAGGGTCAAAAACTAAAAAATAGGATGAATACAGCAAACATCGGTGGGGTCAAAAACCAGAGGTTGGGTGAACCAAAGGGAGTCCATGTTCATGTTGGTCTCCCAACATTGAAGGCCTTTAAACAAATCTGCTTTATTCATCCTAGTTTGGAGGAATCTGGAAAGCTGTATGGCAAAATAGCAAAGAAAAACCTCACCTCCAATTGTCTGGGGTTACTCAATTTAATCAATATATGGGTTGATCAAAAGGACCAGTTCCTTGGCTCAAAACTCTATTGGGGACCAAGGTCTTATGCACAGGAGTGGGCAAAATGGCCAGGGGCAGAACAGAGAAGTTTCTAGGACTCCTTGATATGAGAGTCCAATGCACTATGGTACCAAAACCCACTGGTGAAGTTCTAATGGGAAATACAATTAAATTGAGAGAACATAGGAAAGCAAGGGTTAATATGGTTAAGGTGAAGTCTGAATGAACATTGGAGTGTTTAAACAAGAATTATATGAAGAGGCTGTGTCTCCCTTACCTGAATGTTTAATGGGACTGGGATATTATGTCTGACTTGGGAATATTTCTGCTACCTAGTGTTGTAAAACTAAAACCTGTTAAGCCCTACCGGAAGTCAATTACATTGAGAGGATAGAGAAATGCAAGAACTAATGGGATTAAGTTGAATGATTAAATGAAAAATGGTGGGGCGCCTGGGTGGCGCAGTCGGTTAAGCGTCCGACTTCAGCCAGGTCACGATCTCGCAGTCCGTGAGTTCGAGCCCCGCGTCGGGCTCTGGGCTGATGGCTCAGAGCCTGGAGCCTGTTTCCGATTCTGTGTCTCCCTCTCTCTCTGCCCCTCCCCCGTTCATGCTCTGTCTCTCTCTGTCCCAAAAAATAAATAAACGTTGAAAAAAAAATAAATGAAAAATGGTATATCGAAGAAGCTTTATGTGAAGTGGTTGTGTCTCCTTTACCTGAATATATTATAGGGATAGATATTGCACCTAACTGGAGAAAGTTTCCCCTATCAAGTATTGCAAAACAAAAGGCATGGAAAATCTACCACTTAAACAATGTTAACAAGACATACAAAACAGAAACCAATGCCTGGATACATACAGGCCTTTAATATCAAATGGTATAGAATAGAAGCTGGAGTGCTAATAAAGATACATTCCCCGTACAGCAGTCTCATGTGGAGTATAGACCGGAGCTTATGACAAAAGCCTGTGAGCACCTCCCAGTGGCAGCTACTAGAACTCTGAACTAGACAATTTCCACTTGGAGGAGCAATTACTAGCTTGCTATCAGACATTAATTGAAACTGCCTCTGAATGAAGAACATAAAATAATCCTGAAACCTGAAATATCCAGGATGTCTTGCGTGATATCAGACAAACACTCTAATGAGGAAGGCAGTGCCCAGAAGAGTTCTATAACAAAATGGAAATGGTTTGTGCAGGAACACACCAGCAGGGGAATGCACGGAGTTACACAGCATATTCCTGAGCAGGTGGACTCTTTTCCCCAGGAATGACTCTGGAACCATGTGAAGAGCTGCAGGATTCAATCATCACTTGAACGGTGCCCTGTGAACAGCTCTCAACTGACTAACAAATAGCTGCTCGGCTGATAGACGGCAGTTTCATCATGAACACACAACATGCTGTTTGGAAGGCCACCACTCTGACTAAAAAAGGTAAAACAAATGGGGTTGGTGAGCTGCACTGCATGCTGTTTACCCTTATGGTCAGTCAAAAGGGCAATGGAAGGTTAGCCTATAAAGGGGGGTGCCCTTACTGGGCATGGCCCCATGCAAAATCACTATGGGAATCTGAAGGGTGCATTAAAGTGGGCCACGTCAGTGCCCATCAGAAGAACCCCCTTCCAGCATCAGAAGATGATTAGAATCAATGAGCAGATACCCTGGTGTGCTCACTTGAGGTTAGCCACTTGGGTTAATGAAGGGAGTGGACTGAAACAATGCAGGGATGGGCCAAATCTAGACATATTCCTTTTGTACCCTCTGAGGCACAAAATGACAACAAGAACTGTTTTGTCTGCCAACAAGAGAGATTTAGAGGCTGCAGATGGCTATGGGGAAGATTCCTGGGGTGGGAGGGAATCTTTGTACATAGATGGCAAGTCAGATTGATGCCTGTAACCCTGGAGGGCTACAAGTGGGTCCTGACAGAAATAGATACTGACTCTGGGTTGTGCTTTGTTGACCCAGTGGTAGATGCAAATGCTCAGAGTACTATAAAAGAAGTGGAGAAGATATTACACAGATATGGACCATTGAGTGTAATTCCTTCCGACCAAGGAAGGAACACACTTTACAGCTCATCATGTCCAACAATGGGCAGAGATATAGTTTCTGAGAGTAGTGGTTTGGTAATTAGAATTAGAATGGGCAAAAAAACAATGACTGTCTAAAATGAGAAGAGAGGGAATATAGGCATGAAGAACTAGCTTACACGCCTTCATGAGTGTGTACTCACATTCAACATGAAGTGAACAAAGAGTGTGTCCATACTAGATAAATTCCTCTACAATTTCAGTGGAAATAGGGAACAGGTGGTGAAGAGGATGCTAGTATGACTATGCAATTTTTCCCACAGTGGGAGAATATTGGTATGATACCTATGCTTTTTTCTTTCTTCCCCACATCACCTCAATGTTCTTCTTAACTTGATACAGTGGTCACAGGACAAAGGATACAATTACAATTATCAGAAGCAGAGATGATTCCTAGGCTGTTTTAACCTTCATGTCTATATTTCTAAGGACCTGATGGAGTAGGTTGTGCTTTCACTCCAACTGGCAAATTTGGGGTTAAATGTGAGTGCTGCTATACTGCCTAGTGGTAGAGATAGCTCACTAGTTCTATACAAATGGAGAGAAAGAGAAATAGTGGCTGAAAATCAAAGAATAACTAAATGGGCATGCAATGGGGGAATCCAATTTTATATTAATTCTTCAAAAGAGTCTCAGCGCAAAAGCTAGTATTATTTGTTTGTTTTTCCAATATAATTAACTTACAGGGTTACATGTTGTTTCAAATAAATTAAATAAATAAAAATAAATAAAAATTTAAAAGCTGATATGGTTTCGTAGATCAAATACACCAGATGCTTAAGAAGGTGAAGACAACAAAAGACTCACTTCAGACCTAAACACATGTAGATTGAAAGTGAAGGGTTGGAAAAACATTTGTGATGAAAATGGAAGCAAAAAGAAAGCTGGGGTAGAATACTTATATCAAACAAAATAGAC